TGCGCTATTGGAAGGTAAGAAGAAATCTGATGAACAGGTGATAGAGTAGGACACATTGAATGCAGAACTTACAATCATTATCAGTTATGAAGGGTTTGAAAATTTATAAAATTTGTATATTAATAGGTCTATAGTTGCATGCACTGGTTTTGGCCCCTGCTTTGTGCTTAGGTTATATGTATGTCACCCCTCCTCACACCTCTTGAAATGCTCCCATATGACCGGGCGTCTTACATAGCCTCTCCTGAGGAAGTCCTACTCACTGCCTTCACGTGGCGGAGGTGTTTCTCACCAAAGTAAGAGGGCGAAAGCGGATGCCCGGCGCTCTCCACCGGGTTGACTGTCCATTGGATGACGGTCTAGGGGAGATGGCTAAACCCTGATTCCAAACCTCCAACGACTGGCGTATGAAGCTCACTGGAGCTCACCGGCAGACGTATGGACAAAGGGCTTGTTGGATGTCCTGGATGTCTGGCCCCATTCAAAAAGGCGTATGAACCGAACTCCGGTCACCGGCTGCCAATGGATAGTGGACTCCTTACTCCACTCCTACTGCCTTGTAGGTCACACTTGGCTGTGTAAAGGCTAGAGCTGCACTCTCAAACAAAAGGCCGAGCGATGCTGGGGACATTGCTCGTACCAAATTCCCATGAAACTTCATGAACTCTCTTACAAATTGCCGCGCCTGGGCAGCGATGATTCGAGACGTTCATGAAGCCGGCTCATCCTCCCGTAGGAGATAGCCGAAGTAAAAAAAAAATATATATATATGTATGTGGTTTTCCACACTTCAGGAAAAGTTCCAGTTTCCAGTGAGAGAGCAAATATTTTAAGTAACAAGACTATCATTTCCGTGCTACCATTTTTGTATATGACAGATGGTATGTCGTCTGTTCCAGTACTGCCATTTGACTTCAATGTCTTAATCGCTGAGTCTATATTTTGTATATTAAAATCTATTTCTCCTAATTTGTGGTTACTTTTGCAGGTCATTTGGAAATTCGGGGTCGGGTGCACTCTGGTGTCATTGCAAAATCACTCACTGAGGAGTCCACTTATAACCTGGGGATCGTTGTATATTATACCCCTATGTTCCAAGATGCTTACATTATTGTCTTTACTGCTTTTTAGACGTTTTTTCAATATCCTACAAAAATCCTGAGTTTTGGTGTTACCCGTAAGCGCTTTATTTTCTTCATGTTGTGACTTCATTTTGTGTTTCTCTTCAAGCAGTTTAAGAGTTTCAAGTATTTGGTTCAACGCATTAAATTCCTTAAATACATGGTATTTCCTTTCCAATTTCTTCAGTTTTAGTCGCAGACTTTAGGGGCGCGATTGTGTCTCTTGCTGAGCCAACTGTTTTGTAGAAAATCTTAAGTGATACTTCTAAGTCATTGTTGATGAAGTATTCTTCCCAGTCAGAACTTCTCAACAGATCTGATAGGAATTCCCAATCAGCATTCTTATAATCCCTATATTGATAGCGCACCGGGGAATTTTTAGGTGTGTATTTAGTTGTTAGTCGGAGGGGGAGAGTGCAGCACAATATGTTGTGATCACTGTTATCGAGTTTATCTATCGAGATGAGCTCCATGTTATGACAGAGGATTAAGTCAAGAATATTTCCGTTCCTTGTAGGGAGGCGTACGCACTGCCTCAGTTCTAGTAACGGTGTCGTATGCAAGCCTCAGCCGTCTACACTCACGCTCCCTGGCGTGTAGGATCACAGCTAATCCTTATCTCCGTATGCATTTCATTCTTAGCAATAGCCTCCCCGGCGTATACGACCCATCTGCTGTCTTTAACATCAGTTAATTCATTCACAGATGTAGAAGACTCGAAACAACTTCAGAAGTAATCACGACGAAAAATTTAAGAAAATTATGCAATGAAAACAAGATATGAAAACAACAATTAAGCACAGTTAATCCAAAAACACTAATTGATATAGCACACCACACGTATATACAAACAGTACAAATGACCTCGCCGATCATGTCTTGGTGGAATCCCTTTGAAGAACCGCAGGACTTACACCAGTACACCTGCAACCCTTCCCAGTTTGACGATTGTAGACTGAAGAATGTCCGGACACAAACAAGATTAGCCAACAATTACATTAATCGGAACCCACTCAATTTTTTAACACAAATATATTGACAATCAATACATCAAATGTTGTGGATTCTGGCTTGATGAACTACCCTTGAAGAACTGTAGGACTTACAGCAGTACGACTACATCCCTTCTCAGGTTGATGGTACAAGTGGAAGACGTCCGGATACAAACAAAATTACAAACCGGGTAGGATGCAATATACTGGCAAACTTGCTCATAGATTGATCCACACTATCTTTTTCCAGTTTCAGAATATCATCGAACTTTGGCTCATAACCTTCACCCTCTGTACAAGAGCTTATCTTCACTCACTTCCTTTGCAGTCAAGTAGGTAGGCGTCTCGCTATTACCTCCAGGACGGAACTTGAGTTCAGATCACTCATTCAATTCATCGAAATCGACGCGTTCTTGTAAGTCAACAGATTATCCAAAAACTGAGATAGCGCCTTGGAGTCATCTTGTAATTGACTACCATTACCTTTAGCAGCCTCGAATACGTTCCTTACAATCATCGAAAGTCTTCCAAACCTTTGACGCAGGACACGCATCGCCTCAGTATATCCTTCGTCTGGGGTATAAACATACAGCACTGTATAGGTCTTGCAGCAAATCCAGTGTAATACTTTAAGAAATACATCAACTTCATTTCATCATTTATTGCAAGCCTACTCAGCATGACTTGAAACTCCTTTACAAACTGTAAATAGTGAGCTGGGTTTCCGTCTAAACACCGAGCTTAAAATTTAGGAATTTTACAATTTCTATTATCCCTAGATGGCGAAACATAGACATCAACCTTATCATGCTTAACATCACACACATCATTACATATCACAGACAACTCAACATTACTTACTTTCCTGCCCGCTTTCAAGACGCTTCGTCCCTTCTTTTACCCAAGCATCATTGAACTTGACCAAAAATTCCGAAAAAGTTCCAGATAATACTCGTCCAAAGAAGACTTGCAGGCACCAGGAAAGACGAACGGAAACTATCCAAACACTAAAAGGAACTGTTAGCCAAGTCTCGTAAACCGTAAATGTCCAGCTCTTACTACGCTGAACCTCATGCTGTCCCTGGAAGACTTTCAGAAACAATTTGTAATGACCAACGCGAAAACCAGAACATATTGGCGACTCGAGAATCCTTTATTCTTATGCCAATACGTAACCAACAACAAGGTTATTACACACAAGGTCTAAGAAAAAATGTTATAACAATAAATCACGATATTACTTCTGATAGTTTTCTATCTTCCACTGAAAAACGAACGATGAGACGATGACTGGTGTATTGATGACTCCCGCGAAATATATGGAGGAGTTGGGTTTGAGCAAACAACCATGAATTGATCGTTCAACCCTCAACTGCATTGAAACTGGTTGAAGCACCTGCAAAAACAGGTCTGCAGGTGAATACAGAGAAGATGGAGGTGATGAAAATAATCAACTACGCAACAGCAACAACAGCCAGCACCAATCACCATCAACGGGAGATATTTAAGAGAGGTTGCCTCGTTCACTGGTCGATAAGCATCGTTTCAACTACAGGCGTAGGGGACGAATATGTCAAAGTCAGAGTCAGAAAGACAGGATCCAGCTTCATCAACCTGAAACCAACTTGAAAATCATCTCACTCAACATGGGAATATGATTCGGATTTTCAACACCGGTGTGAATTCAGTCCTTCTGTGCGGGTCAGGAAATAGGTGTGTAACGAATAGGATTTCTAACAGGTTGCAGACCTTCATGAACTTGGCCTTCCCTAGCACCATACCGAAGATCAAATGGCCAGAAAGACTTAGTAAAGAAAAACTGTGAAGACAAACCAACCGAGAGCTGACAGGTCAACAAATATTTTGGAGAAAATGGAGGTGAGTCAAGTATACATTTGAGAGGCTGTCAAATGACATCGCGCGCTATTCAGTCCATAGCCCGAATGAAATCCCGATGGGAAGCAACTATTGAGTCATCGTTATGAGGGTGATGTGGAAGAGGTCATGGGAGGGAGAGACGAGGGAGTTTCGGCAACCACAGAACCAGATTTCCGAAAATAGAAGAAAAGGGAGATATGTTGTTCTAGCCCTAATTTCCAAGGGAACAATAATTATGTTACCGGCTATAATATATATTCAAACCACGTTAAATTTAGCTGCATTTTAACAATGAAATTATGCTCTAGATGGGAAAGTACCTCATTATTGAGTACGCCCAACAAGAGATGTGCACATCATACACCTCCTCAAACTACTCCAACACTTTCCTTGCATGCAGTCTACCTCAGTTTTCTACCAAGCTCTCCTCAACCAAGATGAACTCACCTGATATCGACTAGAAGATAGTCAGTAATCCAAATCGGTACAACAATGAGTTCGTTCGAAATACAGAATACACCACAATATCTATGCTGTTAATCCCATGTATGTGCTTACTTAGCTAGCAAACGCGAATAGACGACCGAGAGCAACACGAAAACACACTAAGTAGCGAAAGTTTTTGACTACATACCTTTGGCCTAAGCAGTCCAATTAAAAATTCAACACTCGCGCTCAACTCTGAATGAATAAGGAGCTGTGGCTTACTAGTTTTGTGTAATCATTTGCTAATAAAAAAAATAAAACAGAAATTTAGCAGCCATCTATTTACGGGAGCTATGACAAGCGACTGAATAGGTCTACCTCGTCAGAACTCGCAAAACGCACGAGGATTTTCCCTAATACCATGAAGGAAACAAGAGCATACCGAACAATCCTCCATAACTGATCACAAACACACTGCATATCGTATATTGGAACACTTCACGATACATTGGACGTTGAAATTTGAGCGGATTTTCGATATGTTGTCAAAGGTTTGTTTCTCGGCGAGCTTGTTGGTGGGTTTATGGTGTCTGTCTTTCTTAGTAATCTCTATTACAAGGTCAGCAAGATGTAATCAACCTTTACAGTACTTTTTTGGGGTTATAGATGATTTTAAGTAGTCACAAAGACCCAAATGCGCAGAACATTGTAGATAGAAGCAAGAATAGTACCGTTTCTGAAGCACCAGATAGCCATTACAACTGTGACCGATTTGTCCTATTTAAATCCCGTAATACAGAAACTAACACTGTTCACATGTCATAACTGAGCAGTTTTAGTTGTGTTTGCAGGAGACTAGCGTGATAACTGCATTATCTTTGCACTCTGCATCTTACTACAGCATTAGCCATTGCATTAGATTATTCTGCCTCATTTTCACTGATTTAATTGCTTTTTGTGTTTCAATGTTTTTTTGAGTTTTGCTGTTTCGTATCTTCAGGATTATACTTGTTTTTCCTTGTGGTTTTGGCTCTATGGAGATAGTTAACAATTTCCCGTTGTTGTATTTTCGAATGCTGCTACTGTTTAGTTTCGAATCGGAGAACATCTTAGGAATTCCTTTTTTCTGCGAAAATAGTTTTATTTTTCTTTAACTAATGAGGGAATTCTCTGCAAAGAACCATGGTGTCGTTCATATGTGCGCGTCGGTGGCACAGTGGTCAGGACTCTCACCGACCGTGCACATGGTACGGGGTTCGATCCCCTGTCGACGCACACCTAATATCTATGGTCGGCCTGCAAACTTTGGGCTGCCGATATCACATGCTGAAAATTCCATACTTGTACCAAAAATACGGTGTGGCATCAAGCTGTAACCGAAAATCAAATGAAGTACAAGCTTAATGGCTTCTCATGTGACAAATATATCTTTCGGTTATAACGCATGTTCATTGGATATGTTATCAGTTGCTCACCTATTTTGCAATTAGTGTATGTACTAGCACATAGCATACACCTCATTGTATAAGCGTGTACGCAGCTATCAGTTTCCGTAAAGTCTGATGAAATTTATTAGTAATCAACTCTTTAGTCCACATTAGAACGACTTTGCTTTCACTCACCAAACTCTAATGAAAAGCGTTGATAGGATGATAGAAAAAAGTGGAAAAATAAGGAAGTCATACAGTTTGCTTGTTCACAAACTGTAATCGGTTTGGCATATTGTCATTATCTCAGAAGAATTTACGTAAAGTAAATATATGAAGGATGAGTAAACTCATATATCAGAAGCGAAACTCAGAAAAGCTCAGGCTGCAGTAATACGGACTGTTCATTTTCTTTCTACCGACTCCCTAAACCTACTAATGTTAAGATCTCTAAATACTCTAATTTTCTCCTGAAGTTCCATCAGGGATATTTTTTATTAGCTAATGTCGTTATTTCATACTTCATATTGCTTCTATTTCCGATGATTTCATTTTCATAGCTGTACAATCGTATATATATATATATATATATATATATATATATATTACAATAGACAATAATCAGATTTCTCGTATGTGCGTTGAAGTTTGACGGTAAATGAAAAGTGCTGTAATAATATTGGTGCATTTAATTATGAGTCACAGTTGATTAGATAGGCAGGTCGGTACCTACTCTTTGTATGACACTTTTGAATTTGGGAATAGCGTTAATGATACTGTTAATGGGAAATCTATGTTATCACTTGTGTGCCCACTTTTTACCAATGTCTGTCTGCTTTCAACATAGAACTTTGCACCGATGTGTAGCAAGCAGTTCAAGTCGCCACACTCCCTCCATGTAACACACAAAGCAAGCGAAGAATGTAGAAATGCAAAATGGAGACAGTAGACAGTTACCAATATTCCATTAAATGAAGCTGTATGCTTCATTTGTGTTTACATAGACGTAAATAATGCAAACATAGGAATGCCCGCGTCATCCCTAAAGGATCTCATACTCTAAATGTCCAACAATATTCAACGATGAAATTTATGGACAAAGAGGCGGAGTGGCTGTGAGTTCACCCCGTGGTCCGTTGCTAGCAGTGTTCTTTTTGGCTAGTATGGAGAGAAGTATTCTCACACCTGCTCTAAAAGGACTTAACTTCTACAAAAGATACGTGGATAACACAGTCGTTATATGCGACTTGAATAACATCCTGAAAGTATTCCACGACCATCATCCTGCTATCCGGTTCATCTTAGAAAAGGGAACTGAAGGAAAAATATCTTTCCTTGACGTTTTACTCACAAGGAGAGCTGACGGCTCTTTGAAAAGATCTGTTTACAGAAAATCAACGTGGACAGGACTACCCAATTTTTACCGTTTTGTCCCCATAGATAAAAAAAGGAATCTAATCTGTTCTCTTTTACCATGGGTGCGGAGAATTTGTAGTGAAGATAGTGTTTATGAGGAACTCAAACAAGTTAAAAAAACCATACAGAACGGGTATCCACTACGCTTCGTAGAGGCCAATGGCAAATTGCGTGGAAGGAATACAGAGATTGATAAGGTAGCTAAAAATGTGTTGCACCTAAACTTATAATTAAAAGGGTAACACTGCGAGTAAGATGCTTAAAAATGTTTGATAAGATCACCGAGAGAAACGTTCTTTCCTGCCATTTTACGAATCATAATCAATATTTCCCTGACATACTCTAGCCATCCACTTGCGCACCTTAACGTTAAGGAAGTGTTACTCCGATTGTCTAATTCCATGTGTATTTATATGTTCACCTGCTCTTACTGAGCTAGGTGCATAGAATATTCTTCGAGAAATATATCCTGCCTCATTCAAGAGCACCTCCAAGTTTGATAGAGCAAAGAAGAACGTAGTAGAATTAATCCATCGATATTGCAACATATTGTAGACACAGACCATGCAGCATCTGATACATCATTTAGTGTAGTTTACAAATTTCGCCGAAAGAGAAACAAGTGTATTTACTTTGTATAGCAGAGACTTTGGCAATACATTTTATAAGCCCAGAACTTTGTGTACAAAAACAATTTGTACGATCGCTTTCGTTACCATGGTCTTAATTCTACTATGTAATTCACCTAACAACTTTGTTATCCTTCTTTATTCTGTGTTCCAATTCTATTTTATTTCATTTTACTTTATGTTATGTTGTAACATTTTATCTAGTCTACTATTTCGACGACATTTCACTCATCCTGTCTCATCCTGTCTTCACGAATACAAGGGGCTCGTTTCGCATTTGTTAGTTTACGCCGACTCTGGCGTAGACGAGATGTTCGACTATCGACCAAAGGGCGGGTGTACTGCTCATCAGTCCGCTCCGTCCTCCTTTATGGTTGTGAGACCTGGCCACTGAGAGAGGAAGACATGAAAAGACTAGCTGTCTTTGATCATAGGTGCCTGCGTTCTATTTCCCGTGTAAAGTGGCATAATAAGGTGAGCAACATGGAGGTTAGGCGCAGAGTTCTAGGTAAAGAGGGGAAATCAATCGACGAAGTCGTGAAGCTACAAAGACTGAGATGGTTAGGACATGTGTTACGTATGCCAAGCCATCGCCTCCCTCGACGAGCTATGTTAGCGGATATAGGGTCAGGCTGGAAAAAAGCTAGCGGCGGTCAAACAAAAACTTGGCACCAGTCAATGAAATCTACAACAGTTGGTCTAAGCCAGTCACGTCAGGAAGGTGTAGACTTCCAGGCTGGGGTCCTCGGGACGGTAAAAATCTATGGTTGGAAACAATTGGTGACATGGCTCAAAATCGTTCTCAGTGGCGCAGATGCATCCACTCCTTGTGACTTATGATCTTCAATGAAACTGTTTTGTATTTCTTTATTACTCCTTTGTCTCATACCTCTGCTCACTGTTTCTATTATGCTTTTCTTGTACTTTCTTCTCTTGCTTCGCGTGCTACACGGAATGTGGCGACTTGAACTTCCACACATTTGTGCAAAGTTCTATGTCGAAAACAGACAGACAGACATCCTGTCTCCATATTATAGTCACATATTCACATTTCCGAATGCACTTTATTTCCCGATCTTCTAGTTCAAACATGTCTATTGAACTTAAGGTTTTTTTTATTTCCTTCACGTTCCCCAGTGGAACATAGGGCTTCAAGCTAGTGGCTTGAAGTTTCTGTACCAGTGTTTGTTTTTGCAGGATGGGGTTGCTAGCCTCATGCCTAACCTTCCCTCTTTACCAGTATTATTACTGGCTTAGAGAGTTAGACGAGTGCGTTGGCCAGGGATCGAACCCTGAACCGCATACATGGTTGACGAGCATTCTGCGGCTACGCCACCTACGCTAATGGGGATTATCAATTTAGTATATTGTTACCTTGCTAAATAAACTTATAAAGCTTCCATGTTACAACAAACAAAATAAAATGATTGACTAACATAGCAGTGTGAAAGGTGTTGAACTTATTGTGTGCTAGAAAAGTCAGAATATCCAGTTCAGTCTGTGTTCAGATTAATTAGTCAAAAAAACTAAGTGTTCCGAAAACTTCACTAATCCATCAGACATCAAATTTTACGACATTTTTGTGAGATTCTTATGCGATATAATGGTATTTCGAGAAATAGACACCCAAGTATATTGTGCTAAGAAGCCTTTTTCTAATCAAAGGTATTTACCTGTGTTGTTTAACAAAAGAATAGTCACTTGAGGTGAAGGCAATCAGCATCGTACCTGATAGTAGCCCTTTTATTATTTGTATAACTAAATCCAGCTAGGGTAAAAAATCGAAAGTAATTTTCAATACCAGTGATTCACTTACTTTGAAAAGGACTATATGGTTGACTTGGACAAAATGCTTACAAAATTTGAGACCCATGTGATATCAGATAGCCAGAAAAGATCAGTAACAGGGATCTTTGGGAGAGAATGAACCAGGAAGCAATTGTGCAACAAATATGTAGGAAAAAATGGAGGTGGATTGGTCATACTGTGAGAAAACCATCAAGTGGCATCACACACCAGGCCATCGGTCGAGTGGAACCCGAATGGGAAGCAACGGGTTGGTCGTCAGTGCGAGGGTGACATGGAGGAGTTGGTTGATGTAAAAGGGGAGATGGTAGCGCGTGGGCATACGTAGAGCTAGGTGAAAATGTTGGCGGAGAACAACTGAACGCAATGGAGGCGTGCGGCTGAATCCCTATGTTCCTTTAAGAACTAAATGAGACAATAATATGATGTTAGCGACACTCTAATTGTTTGTATTTGTGTGACGTAGCGTAGTACTGTATAGTTGATGTAATAATGAAAAGTGATATTTGTTCGCACCTAGTCATCCGCAATAGATTTCCTGTATACCAAGTTATGAGCTGCACTTACCATCTGAGGCCTGAGGATACTTTGAAACCATCAGTGTATATAAGGTAGAGTGAAACCTGAATGCGAGACATACTGGCTGGAAGTTAAGTTAATGATTCACACAACCATGACACTGTCGAGTAACCATGTACGTATTGCACTAGCCTTGGCGGATTGGTTACCAACAAAATGTTTGTATATGCACAAAAGGTTGATTGCATATTCTGTCTTTAGCTATTTACATCTCCGATGAAATGTGCAACCACTTTCTAGCTAATAAGTAGACTGTGCATCACGCTGCACTTTTCTATCGTACAATCAACAGAAAGCGGTTAAAGGTAAGGGGTATGGATGAGTTACAAATATTCAATCATAAGTATTTCTGCTGTTATAATCGCATATGATAAAATCACGGGATGAATTAACGTTAAGTAAAGAAGACCATTTAGCTGGTAAGTTTACGAACCATGCATTTTGGCTCCTTCCTTTCGATGAGCAATGTTCGGTGAAGTTCAGATCAGATTACAAAATCGCCACGACTGGCGAAACGAAAATAGGATGGATACTCATCCTGGAAAAGAACTGGTTTTCTGATATGATCTGTCCTAACTATTCAGTAATGGAGTCGTAATAAAACTCACCAGCATAATGTCATTCCATGTGTCAAGTGGCAAAACTGGGCTTGTGTGTATATATAATAGGATTGCTTTGTAGTTTATCACACTTTTAATTTATTCTCATTATATAATCATAATTATTACAAGCTTCCCACACAGGTATATGTTGATCTCTAAATTATTATGCGTCGCTTGTTACTCTTTTGGGGTCTTTGTGCCTTACTTTCTTACATATTATATATTTTCAATTGGCGACTGGTTAGTTTTTAAGCCTATCGAATTTCTATATAGATTTATTTTCCAGACCTTCAACAACATTTACAAAATGTCAACAAAAGTACTAAACAAATTACATGTGAAATGTCGAAATTCTGTCTATCCTCGTACCTCGGATATACAAAGATTTCCAGTTCCTGATGATAAAGTTGACTGGAATGTATCTTGGCCAGAATATCAGCCTGTAGCATATACTACTCCAGGAATATCAAAGAAACCATGGGCTGATCCAGATATACAGTTGAGTTTTCCGTTTTTTTTGCAAGCGTTATTATCGTTGTTCATTATTATTATTATTCCTTTAATTCCTTGAGGAACATAGGGCTTCAGCCCCACGTCTCCATTGCCTTCGGTTTTCTGCCAACTTTTTCACTCCGCTCCATGTCTGCCCACATGCTTTCATTTCCTCTTCACATGACCTCCTCCAAGTCACCCTTGCACTGACGACCAACTCACCGCTTCCTTTTCAGGTTCCACACGAGCGATGGCCTGGCATGTGATGTCACTTGATGGTTTCCTCAGCGTATGGCCAATCCATCTCCATTTCTTCCTGCCTATTTGTTTCACAATCGGTTCCTCGTTGGTTCGCTCCCAGAGATCCCCCTCTGTTGTTGATCTTTTCTGGCCAGCCATCTGATCTTGAGTATTGAGCGAAGACAGCTGTTAACGAAGGTCTGATGTTTGTTTGAGGTGCTCTTTATGACGCGCAGTGCGAGTCTCTGATCGGTATAGTAGCACTGAATGACTTCACATTGGAGTTGAAAATCCGGATGTTATTTTTGATTCTTAGTGCTGTTGACCTCCACACAGACTTAAGTGTAATGAAAGCCTACCTTGCTTTTCCGATTCTGGCTTTGATATCCTCGTCAGTTCCGTCCGCCTGTTGTTGAAACAATGCTTCCCAGGTAGATGAAGGAGGTTGTTTGTTTCAGGTTCCTCCCATTTATGCTGATTGTTGTTGTTGCTGCTGTTGGCCAGGAATCTTCATCACCTCTTTTATCTATGTTCACTTGTAGTCCTATCTTTGATGCTTCTTCTGCCAACTTGTTGCTTTTCACTTGCATATCTTCCAGTTTTTGGGAAATCAGACATATATCATTATCGGCGAAGTGAAGATCCTCCAAGTTTTTTGTGTGAGTCTATTTTATGCCTGTTTCCTCATTGTCCTGCCCGCTCTCTGTCGCATTATCCAATCTACTGCAATCAGGAAGATCATTGGCGATAGTAGACAGCCTTGTCTCACTTCGAAGACCTCCGTAAGTTTCCCGTTGTAGATTACTTGGCATGCAGCATTGTCGTATAACTGTTGGATGAGATGTATAATTGTCGATGGGACCCCGTAGTAGCGAAGTAGTTGCCAAATGACCTCTCGACCAACGCTGCGCTGTCGAAGGCCTTTTCAAAGTCGATGAAGTTGAGATAGAGAGGTGACTGCCATTCCAAGCTTTGTTCAATGATGATCCATAGTGTGGCGATTTGATCAATACATGACTTGTTTCTCCTGAATCCAGATTGTTCCGATCGAAGCTTTTCAAGTTGTTGTTCAAGTAATCATTATAAGAATATGACCACAGAAACAGTCGTAGGTAGGTCCATCTTATTGTGTTAAAGTCTTCAAAATTGAAGTATGTGCTGAAGATGTCGCCTAGTAGTAGGGTGATGAAAGCTTCGCAAATTAACTATCCAGCTCAGAGAACACAACTACAAAAACATTCACTCTTTGTAACCTGCCACATTTATTCAATCCTCACTATCCTTTCTCTTACATATTTCTGTTTATTGATATACTGTTGTGTTATCATAACCTCGTCTAGTATATTAGTTTTCTACCGGTCTTAAATGCAAGAGGGAAGGTTGTACGTGGGGCTAGTGACCCTATCGTGGAAAGTCAGTCAGATTCCTACAGAAACTTCAAAGTCTGTCTCTCTTTCTGTTTTCCACATAGAACTTTGTATCGATGTGCGGCAGTTCAAGTCGCCACACTTCCTCCATGTAGCACACAAAGCAACACAAAAAAGTAGAAGAAATGCATAATAGAGACATTAAACAGAGATGTGAGACAAAGGAATAGTTAGTAATAACGAAGAACAATATAGTTTCATTGGAAATCATAAGTCACAAGGAATGGATGCATCTGAGCCAGCCATTGAGAACGATTTTGAGCCATATCACCAATTGTTTCCAGCCATCATTGGTTTTTACCGTCCCGAGGACCCCAACCAGTTTAGAAGTCTACACCTTCCTGCGTGGCTTAAACTAACTGTCGTAGATTTCATTGACTAGTGCCGCGCTTTGGTTTGACCGTCACTAGCTCTCATCCAGCCTGACACTATGCCAGTCAGCTAGCATTGCCCGTTGTCGAGGAAGGCGATAACTAGACCTACGTAACACATGTCCTAACCATCTCAGTCGATGTAATTTCACAACCTCGTCAATTGATTTCCCCTCCCACCTACCTAGGACTCGACCGATGCCTCACCTTATTAAACCACCATTGCACACAGGAGATAGAGCGCAGGCGCACCTATGATCAGACAGTTAATCTTTTCGTGTCTTCCACTCTCAACGGCCAGATCTCATAGCCAGCCATAAAGGAGGACGGAAATTCGAGACCAGCATTCTTTAAAAAACGCCTTTGCTTCCTGAGTGGAAGATAAGGCTTCAATCTTGAGCTTTGAAGTCTCAATAGCAGTGGTGTTTCTTTTCATAGGCCTTACACCCAACCGATCAATGAGGTTGTAGAGTGCATCGGCCGAAAATCGAAACCCGAAGCACGTGTGTTGGTGGCTAACATCCTGTCACTGAACAGCTGACGCATTACCATATGAATCAGGAATGAAATCGTTAACTACTCTCCAATGTGTCACACTAACTATCCACTCGTAGTTAGAAAAAATGTTATAACTATTTGTCTGTAAATTTTACAGTTGTATTTATGCTGAAAATGTTTTTTTTTAATTTTTTTTGTATCAGGCATGATAAAAATGCTGTTATTCAATTCAACAAAATCGATGGTATCCTGGATAGGACAAGTTTTATGGGTCCGTATAAGTTTAGTGCTGATGGCCTACCACTTAATCCATGTGGACGTACAGGTATTACAGGAAGAGGAGTTCTTGGTCGTTGGGGGCCGAATCATGCGGCTGATCCAATCGTAACAAGGTATTTAGCATTTGTTTAAGTCTCTTTAGATATTTCATACTAGACCGAAATGCACAGCCTTTATTGTCGTGTCGTCTTCTCTTACGAACGCCTCAATGTTGTTTTATTGACAGTGGCTAATATTAACTTGATGGATTTTGGAACGATGGACAGTGAGTTCGAGTCTCATAGGGAACAGTATCGCTCACTGAAGATGCAGGTACGTCCACATGACGAGTCTAAACTACGACAAAACACGCGCCTTGAATTCCATCATCAACAATAAAAGAAGGTATTTAGCGGAGCGATTTCTTGTATCGTATCTAGGTCTAATTACCTTTCGTGTACGGTAAAAGTACTATCGTGTACTCACTACTAGATTCAGGATCACTGTTTAAAACAAGCAACAAATATTGATAATATCAATGTAGATTTCATCACGAACCGACATAAGCTGGATGAATCACTGAAAATCAAAGAGCACTGGGAAGTTGTTTCGTCCTAGTTGGAGACTCTTCATCGGCGCACACCGATGACTGAACAAGAGATTGAACCCAAAACCTTCAGCTTACGAAGAGATCCCATCGGTCATCATCTAGTCACAGGGCTGGAATTCAACGAACCGTTAATGCCAACTTTTTTCAATTCAAGATATTGACTTGCTTACCGGCTAAGTGACTTTTAGGAGGCATGCGTCAACTGGGATTTGAACTTTGAGACACGTCAGGCCTGGTTGGCGAACATAACATTCTACCACCGAACCAATGGCACACAAATCGCTACCATCCATTAAGTCATATGAACTACAATACCGTGAAGGTCTCACCACCGTTGCGTTTCTTGACATAGTCAACGATTATTCCCCTACTGCCCCATACTCGTTTGCTTGAAATAGTATCAGAGCGAGGCGAATGCATACAACATACAGTCCTCTTCAAACTTTGCACACAACCATAAGGTTGCTCATTATCCTATCGTCCTGGAGACGAGAATTCGCGAGAACACTCCACCCCCAGCCCTTCAACCGGGAGTCAAACCTGGGCCTTTTCCGCATGACAAGCAGAGATACCACTATACTGTAATAGTTATTGAGTTCAAATTCTATTATGGATGTATGAGCAGATCCTGAAATGTGGTTCAATACCTTAATCACTTGACTTTTGACCAACGAGCCTTGGGTTCGAGTCCCGACTTCAGCTACACATCAGTCTAGACAACTAACTGGGTAGTAGTATCATCAGTCCTGGGACGATAAGCGTGACTTTTAGAGAGAGTGGAGTGGTACATGAAAGATCTATTGTGTGTGCGCAGTTGAGTTCAAGTTAATAATAATATTAGAATAATATTAACAGCTTTATTCCAAACAGTATTTGTGGTACAGGTATGGAATTTTCAGCGTGCATTACAGTATATATTGCAACTAATTACCTCATAAATTTTATAAGATTTTAAAATCAAAAAAGCAACAAAAACTAATGGGACTATTTGTTAGAGCGCCGCAGTAAGTTGATCGTGTCATACCTAAGGGATTTCCCATCACATAACAGCTGTGCCAGATATGGTATTATGGAGTTTTTGTACTTGGTAGTCCTAGCATATAGCCTCCTATAGCTGCTTCTAGTTCTACCAGATGAAATGCAAGGAGAGAGCTGGGGAGAGAGAGGATCCTCGGGGTCTGACAATATTGTATTCGCTAGTTTCATACATGACATTATATGTCTATCCACCATAGTGTTAACCAGTTGGTTTAACGATATCCCACTTGCCCTACTAACGGCTTTTAGTGCCTGCCCTTCTCAGCAAAGCAAAGCCTTTCTTAAGCAGTCCAGGAAAGACTAATGGGGAGCAGTAAAGGGGGATGGGTAGAACACAAGTATTTACAAACTGAGAAAGTAAAGATTGCTTTATACCAGACTGCCTAAATTTCCTAATGTAGAACATTAAGCGAAATATCTTCCTAGTAACTAGCAAGATGTGGGAGGACCAGGAAAGATCGGTGGAAAAACTCAGCCCAATGTACTTGACATTAGATGTATTTTCAACCTCTTTGCTGTCAATGATAGTGGGGCCATGTGAGCTAACTAGTTGCTGTAGATCACGTTTACGTCTGAAAGTGAAATTGACTACCTGACATTTAGACGGATTTAGCTTAAGACCGTTTGAAGAGGACCACTGACTAATATCCGATAGAAAGTCGGAACAATCTGACTGAGAGTTGACAGGCATAGAAACAGAGAGGTCATCAGCATACTTAACAAAAGTGGCTACATCAGAATAAGACAAGTCATGTAAGAGAAAAGAAAACAGAAAAGGAGAAAGAACAGCAACTTGAGGAAGACCAGCTAAAGTAAGTGAGGTAGTGGAGGACTTTCCATTGTAGTCGACAAGATCGATGGAGGATAAAGCCCGCCTCCGCCATGTCTTTAAGATTCTATAGGTTATTCATCGTAATCCACCTACCTGTTTAACGTAACATCTAAATATTTTCTATGAAATAAATTTCATTCACAAATTGATTGATGCCTATAAATCAATATTAAATACTTCACAATTAAATGTTAAACTTTGCTTTCTGCATAAGTTTATGTCTACATCCGTGTGTGTGAGAGAGAGAGTGCGTTTGTCGTATTTTAAGGCATAGATGATTCATGTTCTTTCTATTCACCCACATGTTTTTAGACCATTTTTAGACGTTAACTAACTGATGAATATACATTATTATGTGTGGACCAAGTTAAAGTATAACAACAACAACACCCTAGGAGAGCGAACGCTCCAATGACCTTGAACGCATACTATTCATTGGATAACAAGACCTGAACACTACTCTACAATGGTGTCACTGAAGTGCGAATTTCATCCAAATGGTCGTTTTTTAAGTACCATATGGACAAAGTGTTAAATAATTCCATATTAGTTTGTTTATTAGACAGATAAATTAGTCAGGAAATATGTAAGGAAATTTAAAAATAAAATAAATAATGATAGTAGCGATAGTGATAATAATAATAATATTAATGACGGCACCAACAATAAGGAATCTAAATCATCAGCAGTAATTCCATACAAGGAAGGAACCTCGGAAGCCTTACGCCGAATTCTTAACAAGGCAGGAATAAAAGTGGCTGGCATCCAAACCACCCACAAACTCAATTAGAAACAAGCTTTGTCAGTTAAAGGATCCTGTGGAGCCTTTAAAACAAAACAATTTAGTTTATCTAATACCCTGTTTGCAATGATTGTCAGGTCAAATACATAGGTCATAGTAGTAGAACAGGGGCAGTCAGACTTAGCAAAACTTCGATTAGTTGACCCAAATAAGATAAAAAATCTAGAGAATAGTTCAGCTATAGCACTACATGCAGTTACACATAACCATACAATAGGCTGGATGGGATAGGATGACAGTTTTAAAATCTAATGTCACAGGGTATAGGGAGAGATTGATAACAGAAGCTTTGTGCTTATCGAATCAACTGCAAATACATGTAATAGGAATGATTCATCACCTGTCCAGTCGGACATCTGGAAAATTCTATTACCCTACGACGACAAATAGGGGAGGATAAAGAAAACTTTAAAACTCAAGTTTCAAAGTTGTGTGATTACAATTAATGTGATCATAAACAATTAATTTTGTTCGAAACTGTGTCATCCAGTAAATAATACTGTTTCACTGACTGTGTGATATACCTAATAAACAAACTAATATGGAATTACTTACTACCAGAGTGCCCAAGTTTTACACATATATTAAAGTGTTAAATAACTCGTTTCGTGTTACGGTCACGATTAGGGTTAGGATCAAGGTTAGGGTCACGATTAGGATGAGGTTATTGCTTTCATTCCCTGTATTTTCCTAGTAAATAGTTGTAGATGATCGTCTTAATGGAACTCCTACGACTAATTTAATCGAGATCTTCTGCGGAAGACTGAAGAAAAATAGGATAAGAGCGATAAATCGGTTAGGTCACAATGTGAATACCCATCTTCGGTCACCTCGATGAATGCATGCACAGAAACTCGTGCTGTAACTTGAAAACTGATATTCTTCAAAATAATTTGGTGGTATTTTTAGGTCATATCAGGGAATTATATCCTGTTTTCATGTATTTCTCTTGTAAGTAAACGTCATTTTTATGCGAAAACCACTGTATCTCCTGATTGGTCATCGCCTCAAGGTCACCCATGCATTCGTATTCCAAGGATTCTTACAGTCTAAATTTGTCCATATGTGGTATTACTATTATTATTATTATTATTATTATTATTATTATTTGTGTAGGTGGAAAACTGACGAATCTGGTAATCGATGTTATGATCCATCTACTAAACATCCAATTCTTCAATTTGTATCTATTCGTCGTAAAGATTCTGGTGAATGGGCTATTCCTGGAGTAAGTTATTCAGCATTATTTTTATTATTGTTATTAGTTTCTTGTACACACTCATATAGAATAGTTGTGTGTGCTAATAGTTTTAACCAAAATGTTATTAAAATCATGTGATTGATGCGGTGCAATAGTTGTATTGTTTCTATTTCACAAGTTCTCATAACAGTAATACCTCTTCTGACAGTGATATACGGCTATCGACCAAAGGGCGTGTGTACTGCCCAGCAAGTAGTCCGCTCCGTCCCTTTTTATGACTATGAGACCCTAGCCATTGAAAGTCGTAGACATAAAAAGTCTGGCTATCTGTGTTTGATCATAGGTGCCTGCGTTCTGCCTCCCGTGTGAAGTGGTATAGTAGGGTGAGCGATATCGAGTTTGGACGTTGAGTGCTAGGTAATGAGAGGAGGTCAATAGACGGGGCTATGCAGTTACATCGATTGAGATGGTTAGAACATGTGTTACACATGCCTAGCCATCGCCTTCCCCAACAACAGGCAATGTTAGCTGACTGGCATAGGGTCATGTTGGTAAAGGGCTAGCCAGTGGTGGTCAAACCAAAACATGGCTTCACCAGTCAATGAAATCCACAACAGTTAGTTTAAGCCAATCACATAGGAAAGTGTAGAATTCCCGTCTAGTTGTGGTCCTCGGAACGGTGAAAACCAATGAAGGCTAGAGACAATTGCTGGCGATATTGCTCAAAATCGTCTTCAATGACAGCGCAGATGCATCCACTCCTTGTGACCTATAATTTCCAATGAAACTGTATTGTTCTTCGATATTACCATTCTTTTAGCCTCGTATCTCTGTTTACGGTCTCTATTTTTGCATTTCTTTTTACTTTCTTCGCTTTCTTTGTGTGCTACATGGAGTGTGGCGACTCGAACTGCTGCACATCGGTGCGAAATTCCCCGTTGAAACCAATCAGTCAGTCAGTGACTAATTTTATTCCACAGTGTTTGTTTTTGATACTTGGAAAATTATCTAACCCTGTATAGCCAGTTGAGAGATGATGCCTAACGGCATTAAGAGAATTTTGAGCTTTTGTTATTATTATTGTTGTATAGAACCACATAGATCTAACCACGAATAATCGTTTTTTCGCTATTTTTGGAGCATTTTGTCACTACATGTGTGTCTCTCAATGGGGGCTTTCTCAGTGATACAATAAGACACAGAGATCTATTTCCTGCGTTTCGACCACAATGAGTCGGTTTTGCTCTTTAACGCCATCAAAGTTTATCTGATGTAGTCCCAGCAAAAATGGTATTCTTTAGTCTGGTTAGTTACCCTTATGATTTTACAATCATTAATCTATCAATCGTGCGTTGGTGGTATATAGCGGTTAGGATGCTCGCCGACCATGCATATGGTCCGGGGTTCGACCCCCGGTCGGCGCACTCCTTTACCTCACTGAGCCAGAAATAATGCTGGTAGAGAGGAAAGGTTGGGCATGAGGCTAGCAACCCCATCCTGTAAAAATTAAACACTGCTACAGAAACTTCAAGCCACTAGCTTGGAGCCCTATGTTCCACTGGGAACGTGAAGGAAAAATTATTATTTAATCTATCAATCAATTATTACTCAACAATCAATTGCATTTGCATGCACAGTTTTAGATAAGTCACATCTATTGTTTGAGGGGCTGGTATTACTTATTACTTAGCTGCCCAAACCTCTGTAGCTGAAGCGGCGTCCAAGTTGAAGAATAGTGGTCCAGGAGTGCGAACGCACCAATGACTTTGAATGCATACTATCCTTTGGATCATGATATCTACCATTGTTATAGCGCCACTATGAACGCCGTACACGAATACTGAGGTTTAAATTCCATCCCCAATCTCGTTTTTAAGTACTGTTTGGATAATGGGTTGATAGCTCGTTAGGGTTACCCTTTTTTATTTTCATTGTCTGAATGTTTTTGGTAAGTAAGTGGCATTCTGATCGGTCGCTTTGGGATAAATCTTGCGTTCGCATTACTTGGATCGATATTCTTTAATTTTGCCATACGGGACTCGGACCCGCAACCCTCCATTTGGAATTCAAGTACAAAGACCAACAACTCACAGTTCCACACCTTATTATTATTTGTCGGGATTATTACTTTTGTATTTCCCATCGATTTATTATCTACGTTAATATGTTGGCTCCTAGTACGGATAATTCGACGATGTCTAACTGTCATGAAATATATAGAGTAGCATACACTAACTTGAGCCACCTCTGGCTCCATCGTGACGTTAGCCTGGCTGTCAAAGGTCGGGTTAGCAATGCTTCGATACACGTAGTTGTGCTTTACTACGTCTGTGGCACCTCACCTCAACTATCTGAGGATGTGCCGCGACTTTGCGTTTTCGACCATGGTTGTCTCCGTAGAATTGCTTGCGTTCGATGGCATCATCATATGAGTAACTCTGAGGTTCAGTGGCGTGTGTTTAGATACATTGGAGATCACCATGTATTGAGTGTCGTCACCTAGAAACACTGAAGCTTCGGTGGCTTGGACATTTGCAACAAATATCATCCCAGAGGCTTCCGTACCGGTCTCTGTTCACTAACCCTGGGACGGAATGGTAAAATCGAAGAAATGGTCAGTCCACGACGTGGCTTCACAGAATGAAGGGTACTTGTGGTAGGTTAACATCGGTTGGTACGTCACGTTTCCCCGGTCGGAGTCCGAGAAATAGCCCAAAATGTTATCGGATATGTCCAGGAATTGCAATCATTTATGGCTAGTGTGCTGCAGTTCTCCCTTTTCTGACAATAAGTGAGCGAATGCTGTTTGGTCTTGCTAAATATAACCGCTTTCTTCCCAGATGAAGTCCTGTATTAATTCTCTGCCTATTGTATCTATATTGTATCAGGTGTTGCCTTTGAAATAAGAAAATAATTAGGAAACAAAAGTTAAAAGTGACATTATTTAGTTGATGATGTGGCCAACAGTGAAATGCAAGATGCATATTCTGTCTTATCCTCTAACTCGTCAGCCGGATGCATCTGCATACCGAATGATGTGGCGTTGAATTTAAGCCTTGCTGGCAACAACACCGCGCTCTCATTTAAGAGATGTTGATGCTCTTGGTTGATGAGTCCCGAACAGGACGAAATATACATCCCGGATTCTACTACTTGTTTGAGCCATCATCTAAATAGCTGTAATATTCTTTTTCTTTACGATAGTAGTGTAGAATTATTATTATTATCTTAAATATAATGAATGCTATTCATTAGTTAAAAAGGCATACAAGTAAAAATCAATGAAATTCTTCTCCTTGTCTCTCTCTCTCTCTTATTATAGCAAATATTGTAATGCTTGATATCTCATTAATGGTTTTTTTTCCTCTTAATTATCATCAACATATTATACCTAATCTATTCAATAATTCAAAAAAGTGAACCTTCTTTCGGTGTAGTGTAGTGTAATGTTTGTAAATCAACTGATTTTGCAAACTATGCACACTGCTCACATTAATAATAATAATGTTAATAGCTTTATTTCAAACAGTAATATTTTGTTATAAGAATGGAATTCTCAGTATTCAGTACAGTATTGCGTGATCTAACTTTCTCATTACATGGGTAATAATTAAGACAGAGCATTTACATTGATACTGTTGTGTTCAGTATGAATACGAAATTCACAATATATACGTCCCTCCCCCTTCTCCGCACAATTATGCTTCTTCTCAAGTTTAATTAGAAACTGACAAATCAGTAGATTGTAAACACTGTGCGTCGTGGTGGCACAATGGTTAGGACTCTCGCTGACCATGCACACATGGTCCGGGATTCGATCCCCTACCGACGCACACCTGATATCTATGGTCATCCTGCAAAATTTGAGCTGCCAATAATACATGCTGAAAATTCCATACTTGTGCCGAAAAATACGTTGTGGAATCGAGCTGAAATCAAAAAAGAAATACTCACGAGAGTGAATGATGACATTAGAGGTCATATTTTAATCGATTAAAACAAAATGAACGGGAGAAATAATATGCAATATAGTAATTTGAAGTTACTGGTAGCCCCAGTTTTAAGTAGGTCATCATGATGATGTTTGGCATGAGGCACACTCCTATCAATACTAAGTTGATGTTGGAGGGCTGATCTTCATCGATTCCTAGTTTAAAAATAGGGAGTGGAGTTGTTGGTGAAGCGTGTTGATCATTTCACTTATTTAGTGAAGTTTCATCAACCGTAAAAGACTGATTGCTGACGAAATTTCAGCCTAAGCTTGTGTGACATTTGTAAGTCTACATCATCTCTGGTGTAGACGTGATATCTATCCGGGGCCAAGTTAAACTTTTAGCACCACTAACTACCAATCAGCGAACGACTTCGAATTATCCAATGAGATTCACGAAGGTTAGTTCAATGTTGCATAGTGCTTGATTCATTTCAAATGCGTGCCCTAACAAGGTTACGGTTGCACTTCTAGGAGGATAGTGTTTTCCAGTATTGCCTGGATTTAGGGTTGCTTCGGAAGGAGAGAACTTGTTTGTGTGGTGGTGTCATGACTTTAAAAAGCTTTAGCAGATCAACTGACGGATTTTTCCATCGTTATGCTATATGTTTGAAGCGAGTTAGCATTAGAGAGGGTAAGCTGATAATTTTAATATTCCGTAGGAATTTTTTTTGCAAGGTTACACCTCTCCTTAACGCAAATTTTGTATATCTGCAACTACTGGGTCTTGAAACAGCCAGTGAGAGCCGCAGCTGCTGAGACGGTGAATAGCCTCGACTAAACAGCTCAATGGTATCAGCATTGCAGAGATATTGCTTCGTGGAAAATGGAGAAAATCACTTCTTTGTTGGGTGGAGAAGACGTTAGTGTGCACGTCTGTGTAACTGTGTTGATGAAAAAGAAATAAAACTATGGTCGGCAGCGAGCGAACAATATTTGGGTAGTAGGTTTGTATGACACCCCTCTCCGAAAGGGATTCGTCGAAAGGATAGCAGACAGAAAAGCAACCACTTTAGTACCTATTATTACCAGACTTGTAAAACGGGGATCAATAATACACACGAACGAATGGAAAGTTTACAATTCTCTGTCATCTCTGGGATGTATTCATCATAGAGTCAACCATTCAAGTGATTTCGTCGACCCCGTTACGAGGACACATACAAATTCTATTGAAGGATTTTGGGCAGGTTAAAAAATAGGATAAGAGCTATATACGGATCTCAAAAGGATCTCATTTATAGTCATTTAGATGAATATATGTACAGAATGCGGTGTGACTTTTCTATTGACAGTCCGATGCTTAACTCTCACATGTTAGGGAAAGATATCCCCTGTAACAGTTTTATGCTTTTTTTTCTATAAATATAAGTTTCCATTTATCATAAATACCTCTTGAATGTGATTGGTCCGTTCAAGGTCGTTTGCTGATTGGTTGTTAGTGGTGCTGAAAGTTTAACTTTGCCCCATCCGGCTATCTAAATGTTAGGGTTGTGAAGCTGTACCAGGTGAGACAGATAGGTTACTTAAAGACGCGTCCACTTCCAGTAATATTGTCTAGCGTAGGATTGTCTTGGAAAAGAGTCACAGGTGGTCAAATCGAAACTCTGCTTCAATCGATGGAGTTTAAGACACATAGGGGAGTGTAGTACTGTCTGGTTGGAAGTCGTAATGACTCTGTTAACCGATGGTTAATAACTTGTGTGGTGATTTGACTCAAGACCGTTTTCAACTGTTTCAAATATTTATTACAGATTTGATCATGCTGACCGCTTCTAATTTTATTTTTAGGGTATGGTAGACGCTGGTGAACAGTATACTTCAACGCTAAAAAGAGAATTTTCTGAAGAAGCTTTAAACTCGACAACAGCTTCTGCAGAAGAACTTCAAAAAATTAAAAAACGTGTCGATGATGCTTTTCAACATGGAGTTGAGGTTTGTCGTTGATACTCTTTGTCCTTGTTTCCTCTGTGTGTTTGTGTATTTTTCATGTTTATTCATGTTTTTATATCTGTGAAAGCGTGAGAATTAATCGTCATAAGGTTAAATGTTTTAATAATTACGCGCAGTATTAAAACTATTCATAGTTTTGATAGTGTTATTAGAAGACGGAGATTATCTGAAAAATGGGACGTATTTGCGCTATACATTTCAAACAATCTGATCCCTAACACATTTACTTGTCAAGTTAATATATATATATATATATATATATATATATATATATATATATATATATATATATATATATATATATATAAATTAAACAAAGTGAGAGAAAACGGAATTAAGAATAATTAACACAAACGTTTGGTAATCCAATCAAATAAGGACTACCAAGGTAGGCTAAGAGTAATGACAAACTGTTTTTGAATACACAAGGGGGGCTTAAGTCTATGAATAGCTATAGCCTCAGCGTATTTCAGTAAACGCCCTTGACCGTATTTATAGCTGACCTTAAAGGCTGAGTTAACATCAACCTTATGGTTCATCTCGATTAGATGTTTAGCTATAGACGAAGTTGGTAGTCCGACACCTTCATCTATTGACTTGTCACAATTCATCTGTTTTTCTAACCATTTTGGGATATGCTCCCCCACCCTCACATGCAAAGCGCGATTACTCCTCCCTATGTATGTATGTCCACACACACACTCCACAATACCATATCTGGCACAGCTGTTATGTGATGGGAAATCCGTTAGGTATGACACAACCAACATACTGTGGTACTCTAATAAATAGTCCCATTAGTTTTGACTTTCCTTTCGTCGTTACTATTACACTGTTGCTCTCATCTTCTATTACACACCAATTTTATATTTCATATCCTGTGGTGCATTGTTTAAAATGTAAACGCAACGCTGTTCTTTTATTTATTTATTTATTTAACTTCTTTTTTGGGGTGTTGCTTTTTGATTTTAAAATCTTATAAAATTTATGAGGTAATTAGTTGCAATATATACTGTAATGCACGCTGAAAATTCCATACCTGTACTACAAATACTGTTTGGAATAAAGCCGTTAATATTATTATTATAAGTTGTGTGGGATGTGATATAATCACTTGTGCACTTTTGAGGTTTACAGTGAAGCATATTTCTAGCTTTTTCCACAATTACAAGTTGGGCTGCATAGTAGGTTCTACGGATGATCGAATTCACAATCCTACTGTTTATTTCCACGTTATATGGTAATTTGATGAAAACCTTTTTCTTAGGTACGGTGTGGATTGTAGGTTTAGAGACTAGTTGACTTCTACACCTGTTTAAAATTTTTAAAGGATATCTGTTTTCAACAAGAGTATCCATTAATATTTCGTTTTCTTTGTCTATAACATCAGCCGTGCAAATACGTTAGATCCTCTTAAATAGACACTTCACCAAGCCTCTCTTATACTGTAATGGACAGAAGCTGTGAAAATTAAGGTATTGCCCTGTAAAAGTGGACTTTCTGTAGATAGACCGTCTTATTGACATGAAAAGTAAATGTATGGTCAGATTGTTCGAAATGTATAGCGCAAATACATCACATTTTTCAGATAATCTCCGTCTTCTAATAACGCTTGTTTTAAACATTCATGGTTTGTCATATTTACAAAACTTGTAGTCTATGTGAAATCTTATCACACTAATTAAAACTTAACCCTAACTGACCTCAGTGACTGAAGGATTGACTTGTTGCCAACAGTGAATAATCTCGTCGACTTAGAATATGTGCGGATGATATAGTCGTTCCTACCTAGGTGAGAACGCTGATAGAATTCAGAATCTTCTGAACACCTTGAGGAATAGCAATCTTCGAATGTTTGGTATATCATTCACCCGCTTCTGTCCAATATAAGATGATGCTACATGACTGGACTATATTATTTATTATATTATTATTATATCCTTTAATTCCTAGAGGAACATAGGGCTTCAGCCCCACATCTCCATTGCCTTCGGTTTTCTGCCAACTTTTTCACTCCGCTCCATGTCTGCCCACATGCTTTCATTTCCTCTTCACATGACCTCCTCCAAGTCACCCTTGCACTGACGACCAACTCACCGCTTCCTTTTCAGGTTCCACACGAGCGATGGCCTGGCATGTGATGTCACTTGATGGTTTCCTCAGCGTATGGCCAATCCATCTCCATTTCTTCCTGCCTATTTGTTTCACAATCGGTTCCTCGTTGGTTCGCTCCCAGAGATCCCCCTCTGTTGTTGATCTTTTCTGGCCAGCCATCTGATCTTGAGTATTGAACGAAGACAACTGTCAATTAAAGTCTGTAGTTTGTTTGAGATGCTCTTTATGACGCGCCAAGTCTCTTATCCATGCGTATAGTACCACTGACTGGCTTCACATTGGAGTTGAAAATCCGGATGTTATTTTTGATGCTGAGTGATGTTGACCTCCACACAGACTTAAGAGTAATGAAAGCTTGTCTTGCTACATTAACTCACTCCTAATTTAAAGTTAGGGAGCGAAGTGGTTGGTGAAGCATTCTGATTATCACTTCACTTATTTGAGAAGTTGCATGAACTCTAGTATTAATGGGTTGATCACTGACAAAATCTCCGAACGGATACGGATGCATCGTGTAGCATTTGCCAACTTATGCCGTCCCCCTGGCGTAGAGTAAAGGGTATGTGTACTACTCAGCTTCAGTTCTCCTCGTCCTCCTCTATGGATGTGAGTGAGACATGGCCAATGGAAGTGGGAAACATGAAAAACCTGGCTTGTTGTCTTTGATTACAGGTGACTATGTTCTGTCTGTCGTGTTATGTGATACAATAGGATGGTTAGTATTGAGGGTAGGCATCGAGTGGGAAGGAAAATCAATCGATGAGCTTGTGAAGTTACGCCGATTGAGATGGTTAGGAAAATAGAAGGCTATTGGTGGTCAAACTAAAACATGACTTCATCAGTCAATGAAATCCATAGCAGTTAATTTAAGCCGGGTAGTTACGTAAGGAGGTGTAGACTTTTTGACTGGTTATGGTCCTCGGGATGGTAAGAACCAATGATGACTGGAGATAATTGATGGTGATAGGGCTAAGAATCATTGTCAATGGTTGGCTCAAATGCATTCACTGTTTATAATTTGTCATATTTAATAAAACAGCCAAAACCACAATGACCTTTAACAACCAATCAGAATTCAGATGCAACAAAAAAGTCGCTTAATCCTTGAAAAAAACACTAAAAAGAAATAGCTAACTTGATTTTACACTGTGTAGTTGTAGGTTATTTGTTGTAAGAATGTCTCCCACTCAATTCACAGATGATGTATCGAGAAATCGTACCATGCGCGATATACTCATTCATCCAGACGACGACTGTACAGTCACCTGCGTAGGTCATTGTACTTTGAGATCGATGCATTTATATTTGTGACACACTACTCTGCAACCTATTCCTAACCCTCACTGTAACCCTACGCCTTGATCTAAAGCTAGTAAATAAGTAGAATACTGTATCTATCCTCTTCAAGTCCAAAAAGGCAGATGTGACTTGATTTGAAATGATATTTCATTGCATTCCCTGTGTTCTAATGGGTTCCTGAAGGTCAACTTTTGAAAGACTTTGATTTTATTATTCTCTATTGTTCCTCCATAGATTTTCAGGGCTACTAAAGAAAGACTATACCTTATTACGCAGGATGTTGTAGGTTGTTAGCAGGGTAAGCGACGTGCCACTCAACCAGCTTGTTAATATTCTGGTTGACAGGCACATGGACTCATGTGAAAAATGGGCTCAGTCCATTTTATCTAACTCACAACACCCTCTTCATTCACAACTCTTCCCTTGTATCTCGTCAGGCCAGACCAAACCAGGAGTCTATACAGAAAACTATATGCTCGCACTAGGAAGTACAAAAACTCAACCATACCCAGCATAGCTTTTGTTCTGTGCGATAAAGAAAGCATTAGGCGTGAAACCTATAACTTATTAAATAGTCAGTAGAACAACTGAATCTCGTCTTTCCAACTCCTCATCATTTATAGGCACAACGTTTTCTTTCTTTCTCTCTTTTCCTTCTCTCTCTTTTTTTCTTCTCTGTTATGTGCAGTTTTGTTTCTTCTCCTTACGCCAGTAAATATGCTTACATCTACTTTTCTAACACCTTCGAACATTCTGTTCAATTTTGGCTTTGCTACCGACATGCCAATATGTTGTTGTCATAATGAACTGAAATTTCCTTAATCTATGTAGAATTGTATTTACTAATAATGTACTAACTGGATGCAATACTGTATGTAGTGAAATGCTGAGAATTCCATTCTGTATCACAAGTACTGTTTTGGAATAAAGCAAATTATTATTTATTGAATTGAATTTTTGATTTTCCCGTCGATTGATTGGATCGAAGTGCTCGGTCTCAGGTTGACATGTCGGCTTTTTGTGCAGATGCTTCGACGATGTCTGGGCATTTAATTAGTATACCATTGGTGGATGGTGGCCAGCAGTGGAATTCAGGATGCGTATTTCGTCCTATTTGGGACTCGTCTGCTGGATGTACCTGCATTTCTCAGTGAATGATGATGTTCGCACCGAGGCTTGAACCTCTCGTAGCCCAAGTGGTCTAGTGGATAACGCTTTGGCGTTTTGTTATAACTGCAATGAATTAAGGTAAAACCCCGTCGCCAATTTGTTATAACTGTAGGGAATTTAATGAAGACGTTGTCACCTTGTTCTGTCTGCGCCTGAACTAATCTGCCTATCTGCTTGTCGTACCTTCCGATTTAGTAAAGCACGCATATATCAAAAGACAAAGGCTGGACTGAGACTGTGTATTGTAGTGCAACAACAACGACAAAGAAAGTCATGGTATTTATACATTTTACAACAATATAGACAGCCAACAGCATTTGAAATAATTGGTCGTAATAGTCGATAACAAAGTGCGTGAGAAATGATAATATACCATATATGCGAGATTAACAGTCAAT